TTCCCTCGCAGGGGTACCCGTGGGTGACACAAGATACCACACCCCCTGGACCGATTTTCAGCAGCTCGACTACTCGACGACGAACGAAGAGGATGTCAAAGTCGAATGGTGTGTTTTCGGAAGTATCTCGACGAGACGGTTCAAACGCCTCCCGCCATTCTCGTCACCGCCACTCCTTGTACCGCTGTGTGGAGTAATCGAGGTTTGGGAATCGGTCCAGGGGGTGTGGTATCCTGTCACCTATCCTACTGCACGCGCATGGACAAAGCCTCCTTTTGTTTGTTTTCAGGTGTCTTGAGCTCGGGAGGGAGGGAAGCCGTGCGTGCGCCCAAAAGAGTTTTCTTTTTACACGACCAACCGTCGACATCCTCGTCCGGTCTCGCGGCAGCATGGATCGAGACGATGTCGCTGCTGATGTTCTCTTTCTGCGATTCAAACTAGTGCTGCTGCTGCTGCTGCTGCCGCTGCTGCTCCATCTTTGGTACCCGTCTGATCGAAACGACGACCTTGTTCTGCTGCCGCTGCTGTTATTGCTCCTGCTCCTGCTGCTGCTGCCGCCGCCGCCGTCCACACGTGCTGCATGCGCCGCGTTTCGTGACGAAACATACAAGTTCGCGGGCAACGGCAATCCTAGACACGGGCGCCTCCTTGATCCAGGGGCCTTTCGATGACGTGGCGATGATTGCCGACATGATCGGTGCCATGTGCATCAAGTTCACCGAGGTTATGGAGGCATCGTCCTCGTCCTCTGTTGAAGTGGTGAGTACCTGCATCGACTCCGCAAAGCTTTTTGTCTGTGCTGCTTTGTTTTGTTTGTAGTGGTTGCTCTCTCTCTGTTCTGGTTTTGTGATTTCGTTTCCGTGTGGTTTGGACCAGGTATAATACTTTGTTTCTTTGGGGATCGGGGATTGATCGCGAGATCTCCGCCTCGCATAGCCTCTCCGCTTCTCCAGCGGTGGAGGGAATCACTGCTCGCACTTGCCGCTTGCTCTGCGTGTTGGCAGTCTAATTGGACTTCGTTTTTGGGCGCGTTCGTCACCCGTAAGCACGTATGGGTTGGCCCATAAGAACGCGTTTCTTTTATTTTTTTAACGTATGTATGTGCTTTTTTTTGTGCTTGTGGGCCATACGGCGTTTCCTTTTTTGCTCAGTGCTTGTGGTTGGGCAAAACAAATGTCGGATGGATAAGGATAGCGTTTTCGGCCGTCGTGCGTGCGGTTCTCCTCTCACGGCGAGGAGGAAAAGTAAGCCTCCGTGCCCTCCCACACTCGGCGGAAACCCAACTCCCCCGGCCGGGCTACTGACGTGTGGGATGCCC